TTTTTATTCAATTATAAATAACTGTTTATTTTCATATATATATTCAAGTAAAGTTTTTTTTTTTTTTTTATGAAATGAACTCATTGTATCTCTTTTTCGTTCTTCATTTCTCAAAGTGTATGTTTATGTTGTTCAACCCTTAAATATAATTTTGTTCATAGTTCAAGTGAGTCGTTCATAGTTTTAATTGTTTTGTTCATAATTTTAAATGCTCTGTACATAGTTTTATCTGTATTGTATATAGCTTGTGCACCTAAGATTTTCTTTACTTTTTATTTTATTTTATCAATTTTATTTATTGTTTCAACGTTGAGGCCAGTAATATTCTATTATTTTGTACATTATTGTTATTCTGAAGGGACTTAGTCCCAGAATAAAGTTTCTTTTTCTATCTATCTATCTTCTATCTATCCTGATCATTCTAACCTACCTCATATTCCTTCCTTAAGTGCTACAGATCTCATCATTTTTTTGTCATCATTCCTCATTAAATTTAAATCAATGGTTACCGCACTTATATCAATCCTCACAAATCTCGTATCTCACCTCATCCATCCCGAGAAAAATCCTTAAATGACTTCCATGAAACACATATCTATTCTCCTTTAGAATGCGAATTGTGTTAGAAATCACGTTGACGAACTAACAGCTTTACTACTAGACAAAAACATTGACGTAGCCCTAATAACAGGAACTCGACTGACCATAAAACAGCATTTAAAAATTCCACAGTACATAACATACCGTACTCACCATCCTGACGGTAGAGCTAATGCCGGTACTGCTGTCATCGTACACCAATCCCTCTCTCATCACTTACTCACATTACCTACTCAAGATTTCCTATCGTAATAAAATCGTAATAAAAACTTTATCCTTTCCGCTCACCCTTGCATCAGCATATGACCTTCCTTACAGATCTATATCCAAAGTGCAGTACAGTTCTTTCCTCAACTCCTTAAGTCATCACTTCATCCTTGGTGCAGACTTAAATGCTAAACATCAAGAATGGGTTACAAGAACCACGAATTATCGAGGCAGAACATTGCGGTTTGTACTCAATTCCCGAAGTTTTAGCCGCCTTCAACCCAACTCGCCTATTTATTGGCCCACTGATCCTAACGGCAATCCTGATATCCTTGAGTTTTTATCCACAATGGTTTACGTTCCCTCAATCATTTCCTTACCCTCGACGAACTTTCATCAGATCGTAGTCCATTAATACTTCAATTATCAATAGATCTTATTCCAAAACTCCCTCTACCGCCCAGTTAACTGGAAACTCTTTCATCAAATCCTTTCCAATAAAATTGACCTCAAAATAACCCTGAAAATTCCAAAAGACTTTGATAATGCCGTAAATTCCTCTACCATCACTATTTAACAAGCAATCTGGAATGCTTCCTCCCCAAATCTCTCCTCAAAAATTCCTAAGAAAAATAATTTACCTCAATACCTGATAGACCTAATTCACATCAAACACTGTGCCCAGATATTATGGCAACATTCAGACTCCACACTGATCGCCTCTTCTATAATTACTACAGCAAACGACTGAAGCCGGAATTGGTCTTCAAATCCCAATGTTTGTTTAATATATATATATATTTTTAGCGTTTTGTTTTTTTATTCTTCCAATATTTTAATTTTAATGAGATTTGTAAAAATTTAATTTAATCTATGGCCACACAGACATTCTTTTATTTATCTATGATTTGTCCCATATTAATAAAAACATTTTCTGAGAAGGAGTTAGTCGAGGGTGCGGTCAAATAAATAAAAAAATTAAAATATATAAATAATTTTAATTTTTGCCGACGTTTCGACCCACTTTGCAGGTCGTCTTCAGGGCGTAGGATGTGGCACTGCGGGAGGCAGTTGAAACACTGGCAGTCGTGCCAACTGCCTCAACTGCCTCCCGCAGTGCCACATCCTACGCCCTGAAGACGACCTGCAAAGTGGGTCGAAACGTCGGCAAAAATTAAAATTATTTATATATTTTAATTTTTTTATTTATTTGACCGCACCCTCGACTAACTCCTTCTCATATCATATCAACGGTCAACCATCTCTACATCATTAAAAACATTTTCATTTAAAAAAAAAAAAATTCATTTCCGTGTTACCTTCATGCTCCAGAGCAGATCCTGTCCACCAGTCCACTTCAATTCCATTCAGCTTTCACATTCCTGTATCTTGGCTTTCTCTTAGACCGAAGACTAAAGTGGAACTCACACACTAGATTTCAAAGATAAGAACTTAACAGACGATAAGACCATTCATGCAGACTACTGATTAGAAAATCTAAACTTTCAATTGACAACAAACTACCGATCTACAAGAAAATACTGAAAACTATTTGGACCTACGGACTTGAATTTTCTAACATCAAACGCATCCAATCCTTTCAGTCCAAAGTCTTCCTCCGAACAATAGTCGATGCAACCAATAATACCCTACACCATGACCTTAATATTCCACTTGTCCTAGACCTTATCCCTGATTTTTTTTCAAAATTCCATTGGATCCTTAAAAATCATCCAAATCCTCTTGCACAATCCCTATCAAGCACCTCCCATCCCTATAATCCTCCAAGAAGGTTGAAACGGCAGTGGCCAGATTCTTCACTCAAGACATGAGTGTATGTGGTTAAGTGCTCTCGATCAATCTCCGCTGGCTTTATTACCAGTGACGCGGTTGGGAGAGTAGCGCAGGGTTCTCCTGGAGTTCCCTCGCCTGATTGTATATAGGTATGCATGTGTTTTTTTTTTTTGCTTAGTTTTAATTTTCTTATTTGTTTAGGTTATTTTATTTTATTATCTATTGTATATACTTTTGATTATTATTTTGTTTTTATTTATTTTATTTGTTTTTGTACATATAGTGTGAATGTCATCCTACCTCACTATAACCAATGTCCAAGAGGCAGATTGTTATAATACTCAATAAAAAAAAATAAAAAAATTAAGGTTTCCTACTTTATAGAGGCTGAGTGTGCCCCAAGAGGACTCTTACAGACTCATTGATCCATTTATGTCAGCAGTCTACATCCTTTTGGCCATTCCTACATCCTTTCCTAAATTTTCTCCTAGCTGAACAATGTTTTCTATCCCTTGGTCACTTTTGTCTAGGTTGTGCCTCCAGGAATTGTGTTCTCTTGGATAAGATATATATATAAAATTGTTATAGTCAAAGTATAAATATCTTGGTTGAACCAAAAGAAATGGCATCTATAATGAATGGATTAGTAATAATCTAAGAGAGACGGAGCACTTTTACAAATCTCTGAATTAACTTATTGGGGTGACCATATACAAACAGAGAAATATAAACAGAAAAATAAGTCCATCAATAATAATAATAATAATAATAATCAGGTCAAAGATTCCTATGCATTTCTGCTTGAAGTGTCATTGTCACAACTTTTCCGCAATGATATCATGTATTGTCGTCAAGAAAATGAAAATCTGTGCCAATCATGGCACACATCCTGGTTTAAATAATGTAGTCCTCTATAATTTCTTAAACATATTGAACTGCAAGCAGATTACCTTCCACAGTATAGAGTAGAGTCCCTCCTTCTGATTAGGTGCCAGTCCATACCATTACACTCACACCTCTGTACTGCATTAGAAGAAGCAAAATCTGTGGCTGTTTACCCATCCTCTGTTCTCGTAAGACTCTTCGGCACCTATGATCGCTATAAATATAGAAACACAACTTCTCTGTAAACATAATAGGATTCCAATGTGTATCGACATCTAGGTGCTTCCTACACCATAATCTACAGAGTACAGAGTACAGAGTTGCTGGTGATGCACTGTTGCTGCATGTTGTCTTAAAGGGTCATAAGATGTTAGACCAACTTCTCACAAACAGTTTTAGCTGATATGGGCCTTGGCAGAACATTGACACTTCATTTAGGATCTCGGGTACTATAAAAAGAATTCTTCTTGATTCTTGATTATTCTTCTTGCAGTAATAACAATATTTCTGTTATCCCGTGTTGTCCTAATGCACTGAGATCCACTACTAGGTCTCCTATTAATACTTAAAACCAGTTTCTCTGAATCTAGTTAGAGCCCAAGAGACCACAATCTGGAAGATACCAGATGCATCGGTGATATCCACTTGCTGGTGCGTTTTCAAACTTATTGGATTTAATCCTCTCATATATTCTAGCAAAGGTTGAAAGGGTTATCTTACATATAAAAAACTTACGTTTACTTTGATGAGCCATTTATTACACCAGTGCTCAATCAGGGAGAGGTGTCTTTGCAGATTTAAATATGCTATTTTGAAATCTCAGTTGGATGATAGGATGGTGGTTGTTAAATCCTTATTTTATATTTTCGAAACCAGCTTTAATTTATTCACATATATTAGTTTTATAAACAGTTTATTTATTCAAATGGTGAAACACAAGAGTGGCTTTTGTATATAAGAGCTTAAAAAGTCTTAAGCAACACTATAAAATACTTCATGAAAATGTTTTACTAACAAAGATAATTCTGAAAATTTCCCAGCAGGCAAATATTTTTTATTGTTTGCCCATTTGATATCGAAAAACTTTTACATTTTTGCTGAAATTTCTAAATCCGTAGTGCGGCTGAAAACAAATTTTATATCAATTTTTGGAACATCCTGAAGATTTGTCTGTAGAATTGTGAAAACGAATTAAGTTAGCAAACATTTAAGTATTTTGTAGAACTTAAGTGATTTGTGGGGCTTGTGAAATGGATTATTTTAAATCTAAGACTACCATAAATATTTCCGTGAAAATGGACTTTTACTCATGCATTCCACAAACCAAAATCACCCAAATGTTTTCATTGAAATGAATCCGATTTTCAGAAAAAATGTTTTTTACGTATAACTCGTATTGGAAGCTGAGATCGGCATATTTATTTTCATATTCATAAGTGTAAATAATATAAATAGTATTCATATTTATATTTATGGAATTTATGAATAAAAATATGAATACATAAAAAAATTACCTCCTGACATTTGGTAGGTCTCCTCTTTCTACTGCCAATAAGTATTTTTTTTCCTCCAGAGTAAGCTGTTTTGGAAGATTTGGCATGTTGATTTTCTTTTCAATGACGGGATCATCGATATCCAATCCAACCTGTCCAATAAATAATGTTAATCATTCAATTTTAACCATTTTATAAAATTAAAATACTTAATTATCATTATTTTTACCATTGTGATGGTAATAATATTAACTAATAATCTGCAGTTAGACGAAATTCAGGATACGAAAATTATGAATGATAAAACTACTTCAGCTTATTTCATGTTTATTTTCAGGATAGAAAAATAGTTGCCTATTTTCAATAGAAAGTTTAGATTTTCTACTTAGTAGTCTGTAGTTGGTCTTATTGTTGGTTAAGTTTAGTATGAATGTTCCACGTTATTCGTCTTTTTAAGAAAAAGCCAAGATCGACTGTTTTTGAGAATGGAAGCTAGATGGAATTAAAGTGTACTAGTGGACAGGAACTGAGCCGGAATGTGAAGGTAATGTGTTGGATTTGGATTCATTTACTTTAATACGCCATTTATTACGAGCGCTCAACCAGGTAGAGGTGTCTTTGAAATTTTAAGGATGCTATATCAGGATCTGAGTCGGATGATAGAATGGCGATGTCATCATCAAATCTTGCCAGGAAGGTATTGGGATGGACATGGATATCGGCGGTAAAGAGGATGTAAAGGACGGGACCCAATACGCTACCTTGAGGAACACCAGTCTCAACTGGATAGCAATTGGAAAATTCAGTGCCGCAGCGAATTCGGAAGGTGCAATCAGGGAAGTAGGAGCGGGTGACAAGGTATAAAGACCGAGGCAGATGGGTTTTAAGTTTGAAAAGAAGGCCGGCGTGCCATACCCGGTCAAAAGCTTGAGCTATGTCTAGAAATGCACCCGAGCAATATTGCTTGCTTTCCAGGGCTGCGGAAATATGATCGACTACTCTAAGTCCTTGTTGGACTGTGGAGTGTTGGGGACGGAATCCGAATTGATGTGAAAGAAGATTTTGAGACTCTTTATAGGGTAGGATTTGTTTCAGGAGGATCTTTTCAAGGATTTTTGAAAGGAATGGAAGTAGGCTAATGAGTCTGTAGGAAGTTAAGCTGTTGGGAGGTTTGCCTGGGTTTGTAAATAGGATAATCGTTTTTTTTTATTTTATTTTTTAAATTTATGATATTTACAACTGTATTAAGAAAGAATACATTAAGTAAATGTTATAACAGAAAATAAAAACATGAGAAAGTGCTCACTGGTAGCACTCTAAAAAAGAAATGTATTTAAAATAAGAGATCTCGAGGCCATCTTCTTTTCAGACGCCTCGGAGGGTTATCAGGAATCGAATAGGAAGCAAGGTTACAAACGAGAGGGTTCGGATGGTTCTGAAGTTTATTATGAAAGGATAGGTATCTGGAGTGGGCTAATTCGGGAACATAAGGAACATTAAGGTCTTTATGGATGATTTTATTAGTGACAAAGTAAGGAGCATTAAGGGTTTTATAAGGATTTTGGATTTTAAGGATTGGATGCGTGAGGAATTCGATGGATTTGAGCGTTCGTCTAGTAAGTACTGGAGTAGTCGGAAACGTGGAGCGGTTTCTTGTCATTTAAGTATGGTTTGTGGATTCCAAGTTAGACGTTTGTCCAAGTGGAGCCCAAAAAGTACCAAATTTGTTCAACAAGTGTAAGCGGGGTATTATTAATGGATACAGGAAGTCGTAGTTTTACGACGAAGGGTAAAGATGATTTCATGGGATTTATTGGAATTTATTTTAATCTTTCAATTTCGACACCATTCTTCGTGGTTTGTGATGTGTGATTGGAGAGTTTGGGATGCAATTATTGGATCATTATTAACTGATAGGACACATGTGACATCGGTATATGTGGTGATGACAGTGTTGTGATGGTTTGGGATGTCAGCTGTATAAACTGGAACACCAGCGGACTAGGAAAAGAGGGATGAATAAGCATTATTGCGATTTAATTTGAAGTATCTATCAGTTAAGCAGGAACGAATAATGAGGTAGAATGTAGGATCTAGGAATTTACGGAGTTTGTAAGCAGTCCTGGGTGCCAGATTCGATAAAAAAGCCTGTTCTACATCAAGAAAGACTCCCGTGCAGTACATTCCGCGCTCCAATGAAGAGGAGACAACATCTACCACACGATGACATTGCTGGATAGTGGAATAGGATCTGCGATTATGTGATTCGAATCTAGAATGGGATACAGAAATTTTACAGGATACAGAGTTTTTCCAGGATCTTACCCATGATAGGTAAAACGGAGATAGGACGGTAAGAGGATGGGTATTCTGGTGGCTTTTTGGGTTTGTGCATCATTTTGATAATAGAAAGTTTCCAAGGGTCAGGGAAATATGTGGATCGGAGTACAGCATTATATGTATAAGTAAGGACTAGAATGGCTTTCTGAGGAAGTAGTTTTAGGATCTGAGATGTAATTATGTCGTGTCCTAGAGATTTACGGGAAGGCAATCTGTGAATGATATTAGACATTTCTGAAGGATGAAAGACTTTAGGTGGAAAAGTCATTTGGAGTGGGGTATCCAGTTCTGCTTTAATACATTCAAGATGATTTGGGTTAAGAATATCGCTATGTGGACTAAAGGTTTTAAAGAGTTGGTAAGCAAATAATAGGAATTTTTCTTCATCGGATTTGGACCAGGTTTGGGTTTCGGTAAGAAGTGGACGATTAGAGATTTTTTTTATTTCAGGAGCCTTTTAGTGGTCGTCCATAGTGATATGTCGGTAGGTGTAAGTTTTTCAGTAAAATTTAGTAAATTCTGAATTTCGTATTTTTTTATTTATTTCTGATTTTAGTTTGTTAGTCAGCTGGGTGGAATGAGCTTTATCTTTTGGATACCTAGTTCTATGCCCCTCCGATCTTGCTCTGCGTTTTCCTTTATTAAGGTACGAATATGCTGTAACAAGTTAGTCTTTTGTGAATTGTCAATCTTACTAATGAAGGTGTTATTATTTATACGGTATGTTATTGATGCAGTTAGTTTTTTCTATGGCTACATTAATGACTTCTTTTGTCTTTAGCGGAATTTTTAGATCAAGTTTGTTTTTCAAACCATCACGAAATTTGTCCCAGTTTACTCGGCCTGTAATCAATTTAGGAGGTGATGATTTATTAGCAAAGTTTGAATGTACTGAAAGCAGAACTAGACTATGGTCTGAGGAAAGGTCATCAAGGGATTATGGTTTGAGAGGGGGAAGTCTGGGGGGCGATAAATATATCCAGGATATAGGGACGTTTTTTGATGGATGTTGGCCAATAAGAAGGATTCATAGGCGAGAATGGAAAGGTTAAAATGTGAATTAGTTAGATCAGAAGAAGGAAAGAAAAGACACAAAGACAGGAACAAATAGTCCAAGTCCGTGATCTCAGCTTGTAATGATTTATGTAGACTATGCATGGTTTTTAGCTTGCCGGATGGTCTTCACCACATTTAGGAGGCTGGTCTAAAGGTTTCTAACAAGTATCAGATGCGTGTAATCTATTTTTTATAATTTTACATATATTTTACGCATCTGGCCTGATGATGACAATAGGTCTTAGTGTATCCCAGTTCTTGACACTTAGTGCATTGCACTATCACTGGCTTAGGTCTAGGTTCTTCAAATTTTAACTGTTGGATATATTAGCTGGTTAATTTGAAATATCTCGGGGTTATTACTAGCAGGCTCTAAATCAACGAAAAATAGCGGTAAAGGATATTTTAGATGAGAAGTAGTTTATTAGGGTTTTATAATTATCTCTTTCGTTTGTGTTGATCTTGATGTTGTACTCTGGGGAAACAGCGAACATTTGTCTGGCCAACCAGATCGGCGTAGTAAGATAAGAACATCAAGGAAATTAACGGCCACTTGGGCTACCCAAACGAGCACCAATCTATCGCTTATTCATTGTTCATAAATCAGTCCGCCATCTTGGTCAGTGTGTTCACTTTTTTTTTGAGGGAACATTGAATTTTTTTAAATAAATCATGAAGGCTGTGGATCAGCTGATTGGAAGATTGTGCTCTCAACTGGTCTCTCAGTATTTGCCTATTTTTCAGCGGAATCTCTCTGATTTTCCATTGAATACATTTCACGTGTACATCAAAGCAGTTGAAATATTTTTTAATAATTGTTTTTGTCTCTTTCTTTCTTTCTTCTCTTATGGTATGCGGTATAGTCACCAAATGATGTCCGGTAAGGTTCCCAAGAGGACTCGGTCAGACGGAGTTAGTACACCCCGTGATTCACCAGCCAAACAAAGAACTCGTCGCTGCCTACGAGAAACATCTCCAAGAACAAAAGAGAACATTTCAGAACCAAACCTCAACCACAACCAGGAACTTCTTCGCAAGAAATGATCGGAGAATCCCCTATCTTTACTCCAAACCCCAACAAACCAATTCTTTACCCCAAGTGCTTCAAAATGACTGAGAGGTAATGGAGTCTGCAGCTATACCCACAGAACCAACGCCTCCTCCGATATTTGTGAAAAATATAAAAAATTTCCAGTTGTTCTGCATCCAACTAAATAAAATCTGCTCTGGCAGTTATTCATGCCTTAACAGGACTAACGATACAAAAATGACACCAGATGCTGCTGAAATCTACCGAATAATAGTGAAGTACTTCTTAGAAACGAATGCGAATTTTCATACGTACTAGCTTAGGCAGAAGAGATCATTGCGAGTAGTAATAAGAAATTTACACTCCTCAACCCCAAATGAAGTGATGAAAGCAGAACTAGCGGCGCTTGGTTTCAAAGTACGTCAGGTAACTAACGTTGTGAAGGAGAATAAGGAGCAGAATGGAGTAAAAAATAAAGTCCCACTACCTTTATTTTTCGTGGATCTAGAGCAATCACCCGGTATTGAGAAAATATACGATATCACAAGCTGATATTACATAATGGTGAAAGTAGAGAAACCATAGCCCAAGAGAGAAATCGTACAGTGCCATAATTGTCAGGCGTATGGCCACAGGAAGACTTACTGTCACCATCTGCCGCGTTGCTTGAAATGCGGTGAACAGCACAAATCTGTGGAGTGCACCAAACCGATACAAGATCCTGCCATGTGTGCACTATGCCTGGAAGGACACCCGGCCAACTACAAAGGATGCCAAGAGAGAGAGAGAGAAGCAGCTCGAAGAAGTTCGAGGTGTGCAAATTTCTGAAACTACCGCTCGGAGAAGATTAAATGAGTATGGATTAATGGCTTTTCGTCCAGTAAGAGAACAAGAGTTGACCAGAACTCACATAGTAACACGGCTGGCTTTTGCTCGAGAACACTGCCATTGGACTATGGTCGAATAGAGTGCTGTACTTTTTACAGATGAGTCAAGATTCGCTCTTCGATATCCAGACGGGCGTGAAAGGGTGTGGAGAAGAAGAAACAAAAGATATGCAGCCTGTAATTTTTCCCAGAGCCATCCTTTCCAACGTGGTTCCTTAATGGTGTGGGCTGGGATTTCAATGGAGCGCCGCACAGAATTGGTTGTTGTTCGTGGAGGGTCTTTGACGGCCATTCGCTATGTAGATGAGATTTTGGAACCTCATGTGTTGCCTATCCTCAACGAAATCGGCGATCGTTCTATTCTAATGCACTCCCACATGTCGCCCGCATAGTGCAGACGTTCCTTCAACAGAACAATATTGAGGTTTTAGCCAGGCCATCACGTTCTCCAGATTTGAACCCCATTGAGAATTTATGGGATAACCTCGGAAGACGAATAAGAGCGCGTGCAACACTTCCTGATATACTGCAGGACCTTGAAAGGGCTCTTCGGGAGGAATGGGCTATCCTCCAGCAAAGGGACATTTCCCGACTGATGGAAAGTATGCAAAGGCGTCTTCAAGAATTATTGAAGGCAAGAGGAGGAAACACGCGCCACTAAACGATGATGTAAATAATTTCTTTTAGAATAATAATGGTTCTTTTTTCAATTTTTTTCCCCTAATCTTTCTTACCCAATCACATTTTGATTATTAAAGGTAAAAAAGATTATAAAATTCCATAAATACTAAATATTATCTACAAATACCATGTATTATATACAAATACAACTTTTCTTACAAGTGGGTGAAATATTTTTAGATGAAAACAAGAAAAAATCAAGTGGGTGGAATTTTTTGCCTGTCAGTTTATAATTGTTCGATCCTATCTCTCTGACCGTTGCTTCCGAGTATGATGTGGAACAGCATTTTCCGATATCTATACAATTAAAGCCGGTGTTCCCCAGGGCAGAGAATTGGGCCCCGTGCTTAGCATTCTCTTACCGCTGACATCCCTGCTCATTTCGATACCTTCCCTGCAGCATTTGCTGATAACACCACGATTTTATCTATCAGCTCAGATTCTGAAATAGCATCCTTAAACCTTCAAAGACAACTCTCCCTGGTTGAGCGCTCGTGTAATAAATGGTGTATTAAAGTAAATGAATCCAAATCCAATACATTACCTTCACATTCCGACTCAGTTCCTGTCCACTAGTACATTTTAATTCCTTACTCAGACAGTCCGGTATGGCTTTCTCTTATACTGAGGACTAACATGGAATCCACATAGTGGACTCAAAAGACAAGAACTCAACCAACGATATGGCCTTTTTTTTCGGTATTACTATTGTGCTAAATGTGAAAGATTGTAATATATCTCAATAAAGAATTTTCGGAAAAGAACTAGGATTTTAAAATTTATTTAAATAATATAAACAACATACGTAAACAAAAATAATAACATACCTCTCCATTTTTCACTGTTTTTTCAACTCTCTTCTCATCCTTTTTCATGTCTCTAAAAAAAAAAAAATATGTATATATATATAGAATAGAATAGAAAATAAACTTTATTCTGCGACGAGGTCCCTTAATAATAACAATTATGAACAAAAAATAAAAACCACTGATTTTTGAAGTTTATTTATTTAGAAATATAATAATTTGCCACGTGGACAATAATTATAGTGATATATGAATACATTCACACCGTATATACAGAAAATATAAAAGTAAAATATAAATCAAAAATTATGTACAATAAATAAAAGAACCTAAAGATAAGTAAATTAAAACACATAAAAACACAGGCATACCTATATACAATATATAAAATTATGCAGGGAACCCCAAGCCAGGCTTCTCCTTCCAACTATAGAAGGAAAAGCAGGACCCCAAGAGATCCCTGCGCTACTCTATCAACCGCGTCACTGGTGCTAAAGCCAGTGGAGTTTGAGCGAGAGCGCCTCATGTCTTGAGAGGAGAATCTGGCCATTGCCAGAACTCCAACAGATATACTACAATAGATTTCTGGGCCACTGTCGCTTCAACCTTCGAGGAGGATTGTAGGGATGAGTGGAACTAGATAGGGATTGTGCTAGGGGATTCGGATGATTTATAAGGTTCTGATGGAATTTGAAAAAGGTCGAGGACAAATGGAGGACGTTTTCAAAGATTTTTGAGAGGATTGGAAGTAGGCTTATTGGTCTGTAGGACATAGAGGTGTTGGGAGGTTTGCCTGGTTTCGAAAACAGGATAATAGTGGAGTTTTTTCACAAAAGAGGAAAGTGGGTGGTTCTTAGGATGGTATTGTATATGTATGTGAAAAATATAACAGCTTTAGGAGGAAGTTGTCGGAGGATCTGAGAGGTCGTATCCAGAAGATTTACGGAGAGGAAGTTTTTGAAGGTGATGTGATCTTCTACTGTTGTGGTATGGGTGTGGTTGGATTCCGGATGAGAGGTGAATGTTCTATAAAGGTGTCTGGGGAACTCCTCAGCTTTGTCTTCATCAGACGCTGCCCAGGGGCATCGCATCGACGGAGGGGATGGGAAATATGATGGGATTTTAGGATTTTGTAGGTAATCTTCCATAGCGAATTGTCTTGAACAGAGAAGGATGTAAGATAGGAGTTGAAGGATTGGGATTTGAAGGTGGCCAATTCCTGCATTAATTGTTTACTGTAATAATTATAGGAGTGACGATCGGTGGGGTGTCTGGAGCGTTGCCGTAATATTCTTGCACGGCGTTTGGTTTGGATTAAATCTATGAGGTGTTGGGGTAAACTATTTTTATAAGGAATTTTTGAGGAGAGATTTGGGGAGGAATCAGTCCAGATTGCTTGTTGAATAGTGGTGGTAAAGAAGTGTACTGCATTATCAAGGTCTTCTGTGGTTTTCAGGGATATTCTAAGGTCAATTTTATGGGAATGGATTTGATGAAAGAGTTTCCAGTTAACTCGGCCTCTGATGAAGAGCGGTAGAGGGAGTTTTGGAATAAGATCTATTGATAATTGAAGTATTAATGGACTACGATCTGATGAAAGTTCGTCAAGAAGGGTAAGGAAATGATTGAGGAACGTGAACCATTGTGGATAAAAATTCAAGGATATCAGGATTGCGATTAGGATCAGTGGGCCAATAAATAGGCGAGTTGGGTTGAAGGCGGCTAAAACTTCGGGAATTGAGTACAGACCGCAATGTTCTGCCACGAGAATTCGTGGTTCTTCTAACCCATTCTTGATGTTTAACATTTAAGTCTGCACCAAGGATGAAGTGATGACTTAAGGAGTTGAGGAAAGAACTGTACTGCACTTTGGATATAGATCTGTTAGGAAGGTCATATGCTGATGCAAGGGTGAGCGGAAAGGAGAAGGTTTTTATTACGATAGCAGTTGATTGTAGGAAATCTTGAGTAGGTAATGTGAGTAAGTGATGAGAGAGGGATTGGTGTACGATGACAGCAGTACCGGCATTAGCTCTACCGTCATTATGGTGATTACGGTATGTTATGTACTGTGGAATTTTTAAATGCTGTTTTATGGTCAGTCGAGTTCCTGCAATTAGGGCTACGTCAATGTTTTTGTCTAGTAGTAAAGCTGTTATTTCGTCAACGTGATTTCTAACATAATTGGCATTCTAAAGGAGAATAGATATGTGTTTGATGGAAGTCATTTAAGGATTTTTCTCGGGATGGATGAGGTGAGATACGAGATTTGTGAGGATTGATATAAGTGCGGTAACCATTGATTTAAATTTAATGAGGAATGATGACAAAAAAATGGTGAGATCTGTAGCACTTAAGGAAGGAATATGAGGTTGTTGATGGTTAGGTATGTTAGAATGATCAGGATATTGAGGTAGTTCTGCTGTAGGGTTTCACATTCATTAGTTTGATTCTTACTTCCAAGTAATTCGGAAAATACATTATTATTCACTATTCTAGAAGGCTCTTATCTTGATCTGATTATCTCTTCCTGAATACCTGAATTCCTGGTATTTGGATTTGAGATTCTTATAAGTTTGGGGTAATATTTCTCTACTATCTTCACGATAGTGTAGTAGAACCTCTTGATTTCATAAATCTTCTCGACACCAGGTTATGGCTCCAGATCCACAAAAAATAAATGTAGTGGAATTCTATTTCTTACTCCTGGCTGCTCCCTATTTTCCTTCAAAACGTTAGTTACCTGACGCACTTTGAAACCAAGCGTAGTTAGTTCCTCCTTTATCACTCTAGTTGGGGTTGAGGAGTGCAAATTGCTTAACACCACTGGTAATGATCTCTCCTGCCTCAGCTGGTTCGTATGAAAATTCGTATTCGTTTCGTACAGGTACTTCACTATTTTTCGGTAGGTTTCAGCAGTATCTGGTATTATTTTTGTATCATTGGTCCTGTTAAGGCAAGAATAACTGCCGGAGCAGATTTTGTTTAGTTTTGTACACAATAGCTGTATATTTTTTTTGCAAATATAAAAGGTGGCCTTGGTTCTCTGGGAATCGTTGTAGACTCCATTACTTCTCTGTCATTTTGTAGCGCTTGGAACGGATTTGGAGTAGAGGAAGGGGACTCTTCAATCTTTTCTTGCGAAGACGTATATGGTTGAGGCTGAGGTTCTGGATCTGAAGTGTTCACTGAGGTTATTGGAGCGGTTTCTTGTTGGCAGCGACGGGATCTTTGTTTGGCTGGTGAATCTCGAGGGGTACTCTTAAACGCCGTCTGACCGAGTCCTCTTAGTGGGAACCTTACTGGACATCACTTGGTGACAATGCCGTATATCATAAGAGAAGAAAAGGAAAAAATTAAAAGAACAAAAAAGATATCAAACAGTAAATATCAAATGCTCTGATGTATAATTGAACTGTATTCAGTGAATAATTAGAGAGAATCCGCTGAGAAAATAGATACAAACTGACAGAAATTTAGGAGTTGGTTAGGGGTGAATTAAGAGAAGGTAGGAATTAGGAGTGAATTGGAGGTAGGGGTTGAGTTGGTTGTTCCGGCGGGGCCTCACATTCATTAGTCGGGTCTCTACCTCCGAATAACTTAGCAAAGGAAACATTAGAGTCCACGATTTTAGTTTCACGGATCCTGTTCTTTGTTAGGTGTAGCATTCTGGTTCCTGGGCTTGTATCTAGATTTGAGGTTTTTGTTGATTTAACAACATTTATAGTTGACCGGATGACCCGCCAAGCATAGGGCCCAGACTGCAGGTTCTTTTATTGGTTTGGTACATTCGGCAGATTTGTGTGACTCGCTGCACTTTACGCAGCGCGGCATGTGGTGTCAATATGACTTAGTGTTGCAGTATGCGTGACTATTGTATCACTGCACGATTTCTTTTTTTGGATATGGTTTTTCAAGCTTTACAATGGTATAGTAAATTCGATCTATGTCTTATATTTTAACACCTCTGGTGTTGGCTCCAAATCCATAAAAAATAAGGGCAGTGGAATTTTAGTTTTTACTCCTGGCTGGTATATATTTTCTTTCAAAAAGTTTGTTATTTGGCGAACATTGAACCCTAACGCCGTTAGCTACTCCTTGTTAACCTCAGTTGGATTTGAGGAGTGTAAGTTTCTTATCACCACTCGTAATGATCTATCCTCGCTCAGCTGGTATGTGTGAAAATTCGCACCTGTTTCAGTAAAATACTTAATTATTTTTCGATAGGCTTCAGGTGTGGCCGCCGTTATTTTTATTTCACTAGTCCTGTTAAGGCATGAAAAGCTATCGGGACAGATTTTATTTTGTTGGATACACAACAATTAAAAATGTGTAGTAATTTTGACAAAGATTGGAGGAGGCCGTGGTTCTCTAGGTATCGGTGCAGAATCCATCTCCTCTCTGTCATTTAAAAGCACCTGGTATGGGTTGGGTGTAAAAAAAGGTGACTCAGAGACCATTTCTTGTGAAGACGTGCTTGGTTGCGGTTGAGGTGTAGATTCTTGAATTTTTGCTGGAGGAGTTCCGGGAAGTGTTGATCGCTCACTGCGAGAGTTTTTTCTTTAAGTGGTGAATTACGAGGAGTAGAGCTAATTGAATGAGAACTCTTAGTGGACAACACCTGATGAAAATATCGCATATATAAAAAAAAAAAGGGAGAAAGAATAAATAAATAAAACTTCGTTTGCGTGTCCTTAATTTTGGAGAAACGGCAAGAGCAGCTCCTGCCTGCACCATGGCAGAGCCACGAATGCTAGAGAGGGGAGTCTCAATGAGACATACAGTGATGGAAAAAAGTATTTGCACAACACGTTTTTATGAATAAAGTAGTTCAAGAAAACAAAAAACTTCGCTTTCCTTTACAAAAATGAAAAGTAAATTTATGAAAAACTGAAAAAAACTTTTACAAAAAAAAAAAAACACTCCATAATCAAACAATATAATTAAATCAATAAAAGTGCTTGGAAAAAAAGTATTTGCACACTTCCACATTTACAAGCTTATTTTAAATTTTAACGACTTTAATATTTTGCAAATAGGCCATTTGCGTCAATAATTGGTTTGTAGAC